GGAAGTTAATAGCTAAGTGTCTCACCAAGGGATAAATCAAAGAAAAGCAGTATAAGCCTATTGTTCAGAAATACAGAGATAATTTCCATAAGCTAGTTAGAATTATAAATTATTTAGTTGTTAGTACTATTTCTAAATCATGAGCATATATTACTTTTGTTAAAACAATTTTAGTTTTAAAATTAGTTTTTTCACATAGCATAGTATTGCAATGTAAACTCCTGTTTGGTAAATTATCAGGGGAAGCCTGAAAACATTAATAATTTTAGGAGATATACAGAGGACATTATCTGAAAACAGCTATAAATATCCTTAAAGAGTAGAGGCACAAATGGACAGTTATTTTCTAGGAAATACAAATTGGATTCCAGCAAAGAGAAAACAGTAAGTGATACGTACTAGAAATTCCCCATCTTGACATGCAATTTTTACCTTCCTCTTGCATTTGGAAGCAGCATATAAGTTCACTGTAATACCATACACCTCAAATTTTGACATGGAAAATATGGGTTTTTATTCCTCTTTTTTAAAAGTCAAATATGCCAGGTTTGCAATAAAACTTTAGATGTATTTCAATGCACTAGAAGATGGCTATCAGAAATTTTAATAACTAAAACTTGTAAAAAGCCATATATTTTTATGAAGGACAGAAAATTCTGTATTCAAAACCATGTTTTTCCAGTGTCCTTTTCCCAGTGAAGAGATAAAACATAGCAAGAAAGTCTTTTCCCTTTTCCAGAGGTGCAGAGGACATATCACATTGCAGTATATGATTTTCCTAAAACAGAAAACTTACTTACAGCAACTGAATACCTGATGCACAGCTCCGCCAATCACTCCCCAATGTAATTTTCTCATTAGCACTGGAAACCAAAGATTTCATTCTCATTTAATTTTACCAACCTTTACTTTCTGAGACTTGAGTGGTCAGGATAACATGCTTTAATATTAAATTAATAACCTGAAAGGTAAAGTTAGCTAACTGAGAGAAATTTTCTACCCTTAAATTTTTAGTAGTAGTTTTGACAGAAGGGGAGAATACATTGATAAGGAGGAAATAAGGGACAGATATTTGAATATTCTGAAATGCAACAGCATGAAAAGTATTTTAAGGGCCAAGAGTTAACTGATGCAAAATTAGAACAGAATCTCTGCAGTGCTCTTTTCAAATACAAAAACCTCCTTTTCAGTGCGGGTGTGCATGGATGTATGTATGTATACATGTGTGTAGAAAATATCCCCCAAATAATACATGGTAATAATAAAACCATTGAGTACTTATGTGACAGATCCAGCTCTACGTACTGTATGTACTAACTCATAATACAACTCTATGAAAGTAGGCCTTATTATTATCCCTAGTCTACAGATGAAGGAAGAGAAGGAAGTTAAGAAACGTAGCCGTGGTCACACAGCTGGTGTGTGGCACAGCTGGTGTGTGGCACAGCAGGGGTCTGAAGATGTGAATCAGGTGGTCTGGCTCCACAGTCAGAGCTCTTTAACTACATGGAGTTGTACTTTTGCTATTACTAATCAGGGAAATACATAGTGACCAAATAAACAAAACCATTACGAATTCAGTAATGCTTCAACCAATCGGCGCATTACGAATCCAAATGGTATTTGTGCACACCATTCAGGATTCATACACTGTTCTAGCTAAATGAAGAACAAAATGGTAGTGCAAGGTATGCGCAGCGATTTAAAGACTCCTGGTAGTAGCTTCATGAGAGTCCCTCAATTGTGCATGGCTCACAAGTTGGGACACTAAGATAACATATAATCAAAGAATAGATAGATAACATATAATCAAAGAATAGATAGATACTATGACTCAAATTACAAACATGCAAAAGCAAGGAAAAAAATTTCTGCAGAGCTTTGAAAAGCAAAAAAACTTTAAAGAAGGTAGGCCAAGTGGGGGAAGGAAAAGCATTTAATTACATTAAGGGCACATAAGTAAGAATGAGCAACTCAGGATCTTAAACAGGGAATAACAATATAAAAACAACATTCTATCATCTGACGAGAGTATGTAGAAGTAAAAGAGAACGAGAGCCCAGTTACGGGTTATCAAGGTAAGTACGGTTAGCAAGTAAGACATGATGTGTTTAACAAAGAACCATGGGAATGGAGAGAATCATCAAAGTCCTGAGCGTGGCTGGGTTTTCTGATAGGGAGAGGGAACAGCAGGCCTGAGACTGAAGGAATAACCATAATTACAGTGTGTAAAGGATGAAAGGACAGAAAGTAATACCACTTCAGAACAGAAAGGGACGCAGAGGTCATTCACCTCTCTTTTTACAGTCAACCAGAAAGGTGAAGAGTGGAACCAAGGGCAGAGAGGAAGTGGAACAAAAGGCACGGAAGCCAGAGAGTGCTCAAGCAGGCTGACAGCCCTCAAGGAAATCCGACTTATCATCAGGCCATCTCCTCTAAGTAAAGAAGTGAAAATTAAAGCAATACTACAACTGTTTCATTACCTTAACAATATCATCAGTTCCTCCAGCAACAGCTTTCGATCTCAATTCTTCAATTTCTTTCTCCAATTCTAAACAATTAAAAAAATAAGAAGATACTAGTTCAGAAATGAAGAAAATAATTACTGGCTCAAGTGATAAGTACATTCTTAAAAAAAATCACTATAAATTAGAATACATTTAAGAAGCAGCAGATATGTTGAGAAAGCACTAAGTTCACCCAGCATTACCTTTTATTTTCCTTTTTATTATGGAAAACTCCAAACAAATTAAAAAAACCCAGAGAGAATAGTGCGATTAATCTCTATGCTCCATCGTCTTGCTTTAATAATTACTACATGACCAACCTTGTTTCATCCCAACCTGTATTCATTTCCTCCTTCCCCTCTTGTCTTATGCATCCTGATATTTTTGAAGCAAATCCCAGACATTATTTCAGCTGTAAATAACTTCTTACTGTATAATCTTAAAGCAACAACTAACCTCGTATTAAACGTACATGTTAATCTATTTCATCAACTCATGTCTAGGTCTGGAGCCTAGAACATCTTTCCAAATAAATTACTCTCTTATCATAAGCTGATCCAACCTCCAGAAACACAGTTTGACCTTTTCTAGTAGTAAATAAGTCTTGGCTTTTAGGCAGGGCAGTTAAGTTACTGAAAATTCAAGAACTCACCTACACATATTAAAAAAGGATACTAATATCTTTGTCTTTTTGGAATATAAAGAAAGGGAAACTGAATAGGCAATCAACCAACTTCAGTAAATAAATATATTTCAAAATTCCAGGAACAGAAATCTTTTACTACTTTACTTGGGGCCTCTTCTTACTTCCTTGGGCTCAGAACTTCATGTCTCTAACACTTCAACTGGCAACTCTAGGAAAAAATGCTTTACTCAGAAGAATATACGATCCACATGAGGAAAAAAAAAGTGCTGAACTTTAACAAACTGTTTTTAAAATCCTCCTCCCTGACTTTATTAATTCAAAGGTAACTGCAGTTTAGGGATATGAGATAATAAGAAATATCAGAAGCAAAGTTTACAATGCTAAGTAATAACAGATTCCACTAGGCTAGTATTATTGGATTCGCTGATAAACAAAACAAGCCAATGTACTATTACAAAACTAAGAGTTGTAACCCTGATTAAACAAGATTGCGGTCAAGACGAACACTTCCAACCCAATACCTGCACATCTTGATTTAGCTTTCTGTATTAGCATCATCTGCTTCTTGGCAAACTTGATAAGCTCCTCCTTGGGCAATGTTTCCAGCTGGAAGAGTCAGTGACGTGACCAATTAGGAAGAATTCATGTTTCTACTATACCACAAAAAAGAAACATAAAGTCTGCCTAAAAATAGAAAACATCCTACTGAATAGATCTTTATGTCAACCAAGCACCACATTTTTTAAGATTAGCAAATGCAAGTTTCACTCAATAATTACTAGCTCGGCAACTATTATGAAATGTAGAGAAAATCGCACGTATCCTCTTACGTTACAGATATCCTTGTTACAGGTTAAGACACTTTCTAGATTTTGATTTAATTGCAAAATGAGGGAACTGCGACTAATTCTACGTAAAGTTCCTTAGATCTGTAAAATTGCTTCGTCCTATTCAAGGCTGAAAGGAGTCTCTGGCCACATGAAAACACGTAAGCCTAATTACAGCGATAAGATGAATCAGGGTGCGTTTAGGCTTTACCTAAAAATCAGGGAAAGTTCCTTAACCCCTGCGGGCTCAGTTTTCTTAGGCATAAAGCTGGCATAACCACATTATTTATCTCACGGTTACCGTGAAGCTTCAATGCAGTCGAGTGTTTGGGCGAGTGTCTCAAAGTCAGCTTGAAACAATAAACCTCGGCGGCAAGTCCCCATCTCCTGGGCGCCCGTTCAGGGCCCCAGCGGTGACCTGTGCTCACATGGCTCACATCAGCGGAGGCGCAGGCAGAGCCGAGACCGCGACGCCCGCCCCCCGCTCGGACCTCACAAGCCAGACGGCTTCATCTAACGTTGGGAACTTGCGGAATCTCTCAGCAGCGCTGAGCCGGGCGGCAAAGAGACGAACTCAGGCGTCACACCGGGGAGTTCCGAGAGGAGAGACTAAACGCGTGACGGTGACAGCTCAGGCCGAGAGCCCGGAGGAAAGTTGTCCCCCAGGGAGCCCCCTCCCCTCCCGGCAAGACCCCGCCGCTCCAGCGTCTCTTCACCTTGGATTTCCCGGTCCCAGGAGCGGCCGGCGAGGCCACCCCGTCGTGAACAGGCTCCTGCAAAACACAACGAAAGCCAGCCGGTCACATGCGGCTGTGCGGACCCCGGCGGGCGGGGAGGGCAGGCGGGGAGGCAGGCAGGGAGGGGCGGTGGTCCCTCGGCCCCCGGGCCCCCGCGTTACCTCCATGGCCACCCGCAGCCCGCACTTCCGCCCGCTGACTCCCACGGAGCCCCGCCGCGGGTCAAAGGTCGCGCTTCTCCGCTGGCCCCGCCCCCGCGTCTCCAAGGCCGCGGCCCGGCGGCGCTTCCGCTTCCGCCTCGGGAGGTGGCTCCCCGCGCGCTCCGCCTCGCCCCCGGGCCGGCCCGCGAGGGGGCGTGGCGTGGCATGTCGGGCCCGTGGGCGGGGCCCGGCGCGCCACTGGGGCAGTGGGGGTCCCGGCCCCTCCTGGGAGGATCGGGCGCTGTCGGGCCGCGCGCGCTCAGGAGGCCGCCCTAGTCTCCTGTCCCGTCATCTGTCCCCTTAGCTGTCCCATCTCCTGTTCCCTCTCCTGTCCCTCACCTGTGCTTCAGCTGTCCCTCACCTGTCTTATCTCCTGTCCTTTTCCTGTGCCCTCAGGTGTCCCTTCAGCCCCCCTCAGTTCCCCCAGACCCCCTTAGCCTCGGAACGGGCGCGTGGCTGTGCCCTGCGGCTGCAGGTGGCCTAGGGGACGAGGCGCAGCTGTTCCTGAGGCGAGTGGGTGACCGCAGAGCAGGAGCGCTGTCCCGCCTGGCAGCCTGGACACCGGCCCTCCTCCTGGACGGTGAGTAGTCCCGGTAGCTCTTTCTTTGAGCGGGACTGAGGAAACAGGCCCGAGTGTGGGGACGCTGGCCGGGGGAGGGAGGCGGCCTGGGGACGGGCGGCGCCAGGATGGTCGGGGCAAAGACGTGCTGCCGCAGCCGGTGCCTCCCCTCCGCTCCGTGAGCCACCAGCCTGGCACTGGCTGTCACTTGTCACTTGTGACGCCCTGACGCAGGTCGTGGGATGAAGTTCGCCAGCTTGGGGAAAGGATCGTCCTGCAGTGAGCTGGCTTCGGAAAATGCCCGTAAATCTGGACACTGGGCGGGGTTGTAAAATGAGTGACTTTCCTCGGGACTAGAAAAACAGCCTCAGACAGCTTTTTAGAAAAATCACGAGTAATTCCTAAAGGCCACCAAAGTTCTCAATGTTTACGTGGCAGTGAATACCGTTAAGGAAGAGTGACTAAATGCGTTGGCAGGTAGTGTTGGTGAAACTCGAGACTTTGAGCACCTTTTGGAGAAAAAGAGGACTTTCTGTTGCCCCCTCTCCATCTAGTCCATTGCCTTGTATATATATTCATGCACTGCACTGCGTGCAGACTTAATTGAATCTAGGAATTAATTGATACAGAAACCGATCAGCAGGACAGAACCTAAGATCACTGGTCATTTTCTTCTGGGTTTTGAGGAAACTTAGAACTAAGACTACAGGGCTTTTGTTGTATCTATTAACATCAAGGACGTTATAGCATTTTATTTTCCCTTCCAGTATGAGATCCAGGCTAGAATCAGGTTTTGCATTTAATTGTCACATCTCTTTAGGTTTCTTTAATCTGGAACATTTCCACAGTCTTTCTTTGTCTTTTATAAAATGGACATTTTGGTCAAACTTTGGACATTTTTGACATTTTATAAAACAAAACCAAAAAAACCCCCAAACAACTGAACTCATAGATACAGAGAAGAGATTGGTGTGGCAGAGGCAGGGTGTGGGAGTGGGCAAGATGGGTGAAGGGGGTCGAAAAGTACAAACTCTGATTTATGAAGCAAATAAGTCTGGGGGATGTTGTGCGCAGCATGGTGACTACAGTTAATAAGACTCTACTGTATACTTGAAAGTTGCTGAGAGAGTCGATCTTAAAAGTTCTCATCACACGGAAAAAATGATGGATATTTATTAGACTTATTGTGATGATCATTTCGCAATACATACAAATATCAAATCATTATATTGTACACCTGAAACTAACGTTATATGTCAATTATAGCTCAATAGAAAAAGGAATAAGAGGGCTTCCCTGGGGGCACAGTGGTTGGGAGTCTGCCTGCCGATGCAGGGAATGCGGGTTTGTGCCCCGGTCCGGGAAGATCCCACGTGCCGCGGAGCGGCTGGGCCCGTGAGCCATGGCCGCTGGGCCTGCGCATCAGGAGCCTGTGCTCCACAACGGGAGAGGCCACAACAGTGACAGGCCCGCGTACCGCAAAAAAAAAAAAAAAAGGAATAAGAAATTTGGCATTTTTGAAGTCCTCCCCACCTTTTATTTTTTCAATTAACGTACGGTAATATTTTCTTTTGGCATACAGTTCTTTGAATTTTAATACATGTACAGACTCTTGTAATCACGGGCATAATCAGTCCACAGAATAGTTTCATTACCCTCACCCCACCCCATCGTGGCTGACACGCCTCCCATCCCTAATCTCTGACAACCATCATCTGTTCTTCATCACTATCACTTTGTCATTCATGAATGTCATATAAATGGAAACAAACCTTTTGAGACAGGTTTCTTTTCCTCAGCAAAATGCCTTTGAGATTCGTTCAGGTTGTCTCATTTGTCAATAATTTGTTCCCTTTCATCACTAACTGATACTCATTGTACGGATGTGCCGTTATTTATCCATTCACCAACTGCAGGACATTTGGGTTCGTTTCGAGTTTTGGGGTAATTATGAATAGAGCCACTATAAACATTCACATCCAGAGTTTTGTGTGGACATAAGTTTTTATTTCTCTAGGGTACAGACCTAGGAGGGGAAATTGCTGGGCTCTGTGGTAAGTATATGTTTAACTTTTTAAGGAACTGCCAACTGTTCATCCTGATCATTACCCGGCAAGTGGCAGAGGGCATCTTTCTGGGGATAGCCACATTTAGTGACCACCTGCCTTGGTAAGGTGTGCAGACCAGGATGTGAGGGAAGCAGTCAAACCCTTTTTGAGTTGATTTTTACAGAGGCCATCTCAATGCTTAACAATATCAAATGTCTGCGGAAGGCAGGGAGCACGGGAGCTCCATTGAATACCCCCCGGTCAGCCATTGTCGAGCTGCTTTTTTGGTAAAAGGCATGCTATGTTCAGGTTGCAAGCTCCACAAAACCAAACACACGACTAGTTTCAGGGGCTGCAGCAGTGTGACTGCAGTTGGCTGACTTGACTGAAACAGCAGCACCAAAACCTGAAAAAGTGTCACTGGTGATGAGGCTCCACCAATAAAACGCCTGGGAGGGGTCGGAGGTCAGTCTGTCAGGAGAGACCAGAGCAGCTCTGGGCAGGAGTCACCAGTCCGGAACCCAGTGGCAGCCTCTGCAGAGACAGAGCCCTTCACTTTGTGCCTTTTCCGTGACGGTGGCTGTGTTGTCACATCTGATGTGATGGTGGATCCAGGCAGCAGGATGGTAGCAGCCAGGGCAGCGCGTGCTCAACTAGCAGTAGTTCTAGCGTGTCCCATCAGAGAAGGGTCCTTTCTGTGGACATCCACATGAGGGCCCCGGAAAGTGCAGTCAGCAGTCATCATTTGTTTCCACAGTTCACGGCCCAGGAGGGTGTCTTTAACGCTGCTCTAGCTTTCATAATGGCAGACCTGGTAGCTAGGCCACTGGCAAAGCCCAGGGGTCAGTAAGCACAGAGCACGGTTCATCAAGGCGGGCATTGGCCAGAGCCCTGAGAGGGGCCTGGATTCTGGCCTCTGGGTGGAGGGGCCGTGTCCGCTTTTGGTGTTGCAGGGCTGGCACTGCAGTCCAGTGGAAATCAGTGAGCTTTCGCTTAGTCAAAGCAGGCATTCAGCATTTAGGGGTGTCTGTGAATTGAGGGCTCCAGTGAGCCGTGCAGGGACTCACCTGGCTCAGCGGGGGGCAAAGCTTTCCCTGGAGAGATAGCTGCTGCTTTCTCAGGTAGGGCCCAGATGCCTGCGTGGCCAGGCCGCCGCTCTTGAATCCACCATTTGCACTTGACAGGCAAGGTTTTGTGAGTCGAGCCACCCCAAAATGGGAGTATCAGGCTGGAGGTTCACGAGGCCTCCCTGGGTCGGTCACCCAGTTTTGACAAGGGCTCCTGAGAAGCTGATGGCTGCTCTTCAGGGGGGACGCAGCGGGCAACAGTCCCGGGAGTCACTGAGTGCAAACCCCCAGGGTCACTTGCAGGTGGGGCTCCTCCCTTCCCCAGAGGCTCTGTCAGCGGTCATCAGTCACAGAGACTTCTGGCTCAAACTCTTACTGGGGGTGCAGAGCCACCAGAGTAGCTAGCGTGCCGCAGCTTGCCGGACACCTTCTGGTGAAGCCTGTCGTTCTGCACGACACTCAAATGGGACCAGTTTATGGGCTAGCCAACGTAAAGGACCAAGAAGAATGTCCCCAGTACCCCAGTAAGGCTTTTGGCCTCTATGGTGGTGATGGTGGGGGTAGGGCAGAGAGCAAGCAGTCTGGAGCCATAGTTCCAGGAGCTTTACTTGTTGTCAGGCCCCGGACTTTCACTGGGGAGGCTGCCTGTTAGGAGGGTGTGGTGAGTCCCCTTCAGGGCCATTGAAATGGGGGCTTCTAACCTGCCAGCTGAGAGCCGTCATCTCTGTCGGGGTGCTCTGAATGTAAGATGCATCGCCACAAAATCCCCCGGCCCTACACACACACACACACACACACACACACACACGCGCGCGCGCGCGCACACACACACACACACACACACACACACACACACTGGTAGCAAATGGCAAAGGGGTTTGTCCCACTCCCCCTTTTTACAGGAGGCTCTTTCTTACAGGGACGATCCCCTCTGGCACTCAGGGGACGGAGAAGCACAGACATGTGACGTGTCAGTTCCCACATAACATTCAGACATAGGGACAGTAGGACATTGAATCAACCGAAAGCGCCCCTCCCGTAGGGTCCCTTTGGCTTTCTTTCTCCTGGTGAACCCTGTCCAGACCCCGCCAGGAGAATGTGGGTGCTCCTGCCTTACCAGGGCCCGGGGAGGATGGTGACTTGGGTGTCTTTACCTAACAGAGTCGTAGAAACTTGAGTCCCTCGCTCTTGGTGTTCCTGAGCATGTTCACGTGGATGCATACGGACTCATATCCATCTTGGAGGGGGCGAGACTGTTGCCCATACCGTCATCATCTTTCTTTTTCAAGGATCTGGGTAGAGGGGACAGATGTGGAGGGAGGGATCCGGGAAGCAGAGGGACAGAGCAGCTCCATGTCAGTAAACAAGGCTTTATATTAATTACACTTTATTTAAGCAGGGAGGTGGCTGCTCAGGGCTTAAACAAGTGAACTTCTGATTTTCGATCCATGGAAAGCTCTACATCCTCGTTGCTGACACCATTTGTTTCAGCTCCCCTGTGTCTTTGAAAAGATAGTCCAGATCAAAGACCGTAATTGCCGCTGCCTGAAAGATGCTCAGAAATGTGAGAAATCCAAGCAGAACTGCCTCTCAACACCTTGTATCTTGTGAACTCACGTTTTTGTTTTATGAGGCTTTTTGTACGTTTTTCCTCTGGATTTTTCACATAGACAATCATGTCATCTAAGAAGAGGGACGGTTTTATTCCTTTCTTTCCAAAAGTATGCGTTGTATGTATTATTTCTTTCCCTGCCGCATAGGCTGAGGCCCCCAGTGCTATGTTGAAAGGGGTGTGAGTGTGCATTCTTGCCATGATCTGATCTAAGAGCAGCGGTGTTCAGTCTTTGACCGTTAGGTATCATAGTAAATGTAGGTTTTGTGTGGGTGCCCTCTATCAACCCTCTGCACCTGCAGTTAAAAAACAACACATCTCTGTTTTCACAATACCACTGTGTCTTTATTGTGAAAATTAAATGTAGGTCTGGTGAAATTAAAAGGATTTGCCTCAGTCCACTACCCTTACTCTTGTCGTGCTCCCTTCACCCCACTTCTCCCACTATCTGTTGATTTAATCTGGTACACCTTTCAGTAAACTCAACAAGGCAGCAGTGGGCAAACCCCTTCTCCCAAAGATTTGGTCGTTGTGTGCTGGATCTCCAGATGCAATTACTTTTCCCAAACAAATGACCTTGGCTTAGTATCCAAATTTTAACTCTTGGTGGGACTTCCCTGGAGGTCCAGTGGTTAAGGCTCTGTGCTCCCACTGCAGGGGGCACAGGTTCGATCCCTGGTCAGGGAAGTAAAATCACATGCACATGGTGTGGCCAAAACAAACCAAATTTTCCTCTTTGTAAGCCTTACATCCCTTTATGAAAACTGAAAAAATCATGTTAAAATCTCAGAAGAAGTGTAGTCCTATCCGTTAGATAATTATCTCTAATCCACTGAATTCTGCAGATATCTCAGTGCACCTTGTTTACAGCCCTTGAGGCCTTCTTGTTTCTATTTGCATGAAATAAAACCAGACACAGAGACCTTTGTCAAGCTGAAGGAATTTATAAGAAATCGCACCTATAGTCTCATTTCTTTAACAACTGCATGTTTTAGGTCTGATCATTTCAGATTATCTATTATTATAGGATTGAATTTGAGTAGGGTTCAAAATAAGGGGACTGGTGTGTTTAGGTGGATTCACCTCTAATGTGTCAGAAGGACAGTGGCCTCATGAAGCTCTCCTGCTACTTTTTTTTTTTTTTTGTGGTATGCGGGCCTCTCACTGTTGCCTCTCCCGTTGCGGAGCACAGGCTCCAGACACACAGGCTCGGCGGCCATGGCTCACGGCATGTGGGACCTTCCCGGACCGGGGCACGAACCTGTGTCGCCTGCATTGGCAGGCGGACTCTCAACCACTGCGGCACCAGGGAAGCCCCACTCTCCTGCTACTTTTGAATGTGGTGATTTTTAGCATCATCTGAAGACCCAGACACCGAGGAGGCACATGATCCAGGCAAGGGTCTGTTAGGTAAAGTTTGGTCCCTTTCTGCCTATTTCCAGATAACTGGCAAAGAAACTAAGCATGGGTAATTCAAGCACAAGAGAAGGTTCCAGGCACCGTGGTCATTAGGCAGAGTGGCTCTTCTGGGCTAGGACTGCAGGTCCAAAGCAGTGGTGCGGTAGGTTGTCTCCGAACTCCACTGGCCAATAGAGGGGGCAAGGAGGTCAGCCTGGCACTTGCCATTGGCTCAGAGACTGAGGAGGACATCCTGCAGCTGGTGGTTAACTGGGTTGGGCTAGAACAGGAAAACATGGGGGCTACTGCCGTGTAGCGGTTCATTCAGTCCACACACATTAACAGAGCATCTTCTGTGCACCAAGTATTCTGCTAGGCACTGGGTGGGGGAAGTACAACTGTAATTAAGACAGAAAAAGTCTCCCTGCTGAACTAGTGGTAGAGACACACCATAAGCAGGGAAACCATTAATTTAATAGATATACGAGTTATGTAGAAAATAAAGCAATGTTATATAACAGGGTCTGTTTTATTTTCATTTTAATTTAAAAAGTTATTTTATTTTCTAAAAGTAATTGTATATATTTAAGGCGTACATGATTTGATATGCATAAACATAGCAAAGTGATTACTACAGTCAGGTAATTAACACATCTCCACACACACTTACAGTTTTTGTGTGTGCGATGAGTATCTGAAATCTACTCTCTTAGCAATCTCCAGTATTCAGTCGTATTAACTATAGTCGTCATGCTATGCACCAGATCTCTAGACTTATCCTACATAACCGCAACTTTGTGCCCTTTGACCAGTATCTCTGAGTTTCCCCCTTCTCCAGCCCCTGGTAGCCACAGCTCTGCTCTCTGCCTCTACATATTTGACTTTTAAGCTTATTTTTAATTTTTAAAAAATTTTTGAATGACAGTTTATTATTTTCATTTAGACAATATTTCAGTGTAATAGTCTAAACATTCAACAATGTAATTATTTATTTTAAAAGCAATATAGACAAATTATTTATGTAAACCCACGGCTATAGACTTGAAAATACCCAGATTTTTTTCTTTTTCCTTTTTTAAAATTTTATTATTTTTTAAAAAATAAATTTATTTATTATTTATTTTTGTCTGTGTTGGGTCTTCGTTTCTGTGCATGGGCTTTCTTTTTTTTTTCTTTTTTTTTTTTTTTTGTTTGTGGGCCTCTCACTTTTTTTGCCTTTTCCATCATGGAGCACAGGCTCCGGACGCACAGGCTCAGCGGCCATGGCTCACGGGCCCAGCCGCTCCGCGGCATGTGGGATCTTCCCAGACCGGGGCACGAACCCGTGTCCCCTGCATCTGCAGGTGGACTCTCAACCACTGCGCCACCAGGGAAGCCCATGGGGTTTCTTTAGTTGTGGTGAGCGGGGGCTACTCTTCCTTGCCGTGCACGGGCTTCTCATTGTGGTGGCTTCTCTTGCTGCGGAGCATGGGCTCTAGGCACACGGGCTTCAGTAGTTCTGGCACATGGGCTTAGTTGCTTCACGGCATGTGGGGTCTTCCTGGACCAGGGCTCGAACCCGTGTTACCTGCATTGGCAGGCGGATTCTTAACCACTGCACCACCAGGGAAGCCCTATTTTTATTTTTTTAAATTGCAGTTGACATACAATATTATATTAGTATTCAAGTGTTCAACATAGTGATTTCACATTTATATTCATTAAGGATTGATCAACACAATAAGTCAGGTAACCATCTGTTACGATATAAAATTATTGCAGTGCTATTGACTATATTCCCTATGCTGTATATTACATTCTGTACCTGTGAGTCAGTTTCTGTTTTGTTTTGTTTGTCTGTTTGTTTTGTTTTTTAGATTCCACATGTAAGTGTAATGATATGGTGTTTGTCTTTGATTATTTCACTTAGTGTAGAATCCTCTAGGTCCATGCATGTTGTCACAAATGACAAGGTTGCATTTTTTATGCCCGAGTAATATTCCATTGTGTATATGTACCACCTCTCATTTATCCATTCATCTATCAGTGGACATTTAGGTTGTTTCCATGTCTTGGCTATTGTAAATGTGCTGCTGTGAACATTGGAGTGCGTGGATCTTTCCAAATTTTAAATAATTTAAATAGCTACATGCAGCTAGTAGCTAACACAGCACAGCTATAGATGATAGCTGTTCCAGGGACTACTTAGAATGTAAAAAGTTGGCTTTTTAGATTTCCTTAACTGATATAGTATTTCAGTTACTTATTTTTGAGCATATTGTTTGCCATTTGGTTTGCAATGAAGTATCTAGCAATGTCCCTATCTTGGAGAAAAAATAAACAAATGAAAATGTAAATATGCACAAAAGAGACAATGTAGACATCCAAGAGATAGCATGATATACTTTAATCTTAATCACAGAAAAGTTATGCTAAGTGTAAAGGACTCCAGAAGAGCAGCAACCCTTCAGGGTGCAGTATCTGTAGGAAGATGGGAGACCTGTGCTGGTTATTGGACTTGTTGTCTATGTTTTGGATGGGTAGGAAGGAAGGAAAGGAAACGTCAGGAGGAGGCGGGGTGAAAGTGAAACTATCGTCTGGGAACCTGTGAGATGCGCTTGGGCCCAGCGCGGGGACTCGTCGCTGAGGCAAGGAGGGTGCCTGGCAGAATGAAATCCAGCTGGAAGGTGGTTTGGAAGGTCAGTCAACTGCGTCGTATGGTTGTAGCTGCCTTTGAATTCATGGCTAAAAAGCTTGGGATTTATCTTCTAGGCAGCAAATATTCAGAATCATTGAAGGACTCTGAGCTAAAGAGAAATATAATGAGTCTTGTTGGAAAACAAGCTTGGCAGATGTATGATGAACAGAGAAATGAGTTAGGTAGCTTATAGGCAAGAGGGAGAGGCTTCTGAACCAGGGGGATGGCTGTAGAGATGAGACTTCCTGGAAGTAAAACCAACGGATGTTGCTGATGGATTAGAGCAGGATTGCGGAGGCGCTGGAGGGAGGGAGGTTAAGGTGGGAGGCCGGGTTGGATTGCGGCGCGGCTGGGCTGGGGGGGTGGGTCCCATTAAATGCAGAGGCTGCGGTGAGAGGCTGGGGTGGATGCTCTGGAGTTACTTAGAAACAGAGTCACCTGATGGTTACTTGGCTACCAAGAAATTGCTAGAAGTAACTGTTTACACATTTTAGTGCTGCATTTAAAAATTGGCTTGAACTTAATCTGTAAATTTTAGTGTGTTTCTGTGTGATGACCGAAGCATTTTTAATACGTTAACAAGCGCACGATCTGTGGAAAATTGACATGTGATGATAATTAGCAATGAGGCCATGGTTTTCACGCTGCCACCCTGCCCACCCTCCACCTTGCCCTGACCTCTGATAGCCCTGTCACTTTTTTTAGGGTGAACAAAAGCAAACACAGGGAGCACTAGTGTGACCACCTGAATCCAGTGTCACGTGGTCGGGATAATTAGCTTTCACACTGATGGACTCTGGTTCTTTTTCTTCCTTACAAGAATCGGATGTGGGAAGTTAGAGTGGTGTCAGTCATCTTCCTCTTGTGATCTTCATCAAATCTCTCGTTCTGGGCCACAGTGAAGTGATTCTTCCAATCTCCCACGGCCCCTGAAACAGACATGGGGTGGTGGGTGTCAGTACCGTGGGGTGATTTGGATTTCTCTGTTCTCCCGTTTCTGTGAGGATTTCTACTCCCCGACAGGGAGGGACAGAGTCGGACAAACATTTCTCTGGCTGGCCTGGCAGTGTCTCCTCCTGGAAGGGGGAGGAATCGCCTGTCTGGCTTGTGGGTCGGGAGGTGACACGGCCGCGTGAACAGCAGGTCTGAGGAGCTCTCTTGTCCTTCCCTCCTGCCCGTCGCAGCACGCTCGGTGCTTGTGCCTGTGGCTGGCGTCCTGCAGGTAGAAGGGCCTGCTTCTGGAAGGACTCAACGTGCGGTTTTGAAAAAGGAGAGAAGAAAAAGAAGATTCCCCTCCAGCTCTCCACGTGCAATCCCTGTTCCCTTTCCCGGACTGCTTTTTCTACATAGTACCTACTAGCAACTATTATCCTGAATTTTCGTGTGTTTTGGTCACTGCTCTGAACATTGCCCAGAACAGTGCCTGGTACATAGTAGCCACTCCAGTCAGTAAGTATTTTGGAGTGAATGGACCTCTCTGATAGCTTAGAGCCCTCCAGAAAGTGGATTCTTTTCTCCATCTGACTTAATTCTGTATATTTTCACCTTATCAGCCAGAACTCCAGAAGGAAGGTGAGGACAAAGGGTTGGACTTAGACACCAAACCTCACTCTCCAGTTGTGGCTGAACATTGATTTCATTTCATCTGTGGTTTCTTAAATTATTTTTTTCCCAGAACCATTTATTATTGATCTTATTTTTCTTATCTATAGAAAAGAAACTCCCCAAAGACTCTGAAATATTGGACAATTCCTTTAAGATTATGGTGAAAAGGAAACATAAAAACCTTTTCTCATGAATGGAGAAATAGAGTGGTTCATGAATGGAGCTGGAATCGACGTGTAGTTTGCCATCGGGTTCTGCTTCATGACGTCAAATGAACTGTAATGGACAATTTTATCCAGAACTTTATCATCTAGGCTCTTTCCAGTAAATTCTGCCAGCTTCAGAATTTCATGCTTTGGGTTCTATGATCAGAGTCAAAAGAAAAGACTTGATATAAGATAATTTATATCAATAAATAATAGTTTCAAAAGACTGTTGGAATGAATTAATGCTAGTAATCAGTAACATGTCATGAATTAAAATTTTAAAAAATCGGGTCTCACAAGTGCTCAGCTTTTCAGATGTGACTCACTTTGATGTGGTGACTGTATCAACTGGAGTCATTACGCTCTTCTTGTTCTAACATGGAAGCGTCAACTGAGCGTGTCGGTGAGACACTCACCACACAGTGGCGTGCAGTGCATGGGGCGCGTGCCACGGAGGGATTTGTCCAGAATTAGGCCCAAATGTCCTGCTCTAGCCCGTCCAGCTAAATGCCCCACGGGGACAGCCACTGGACTGATGCTGAGAGCAGGTGTTGCGGCAGCGTTGGGGACCTGGCCACAGAGGCCCATCTCCTGCTTCTCATGTGGACAGAAGAGGCCCCAGACTTTCCCAGTGGTGCCGGTGAGGGGGGCACGAGGGTGGGAGGGGCTTCTTTGCACCCAAGAGGCCCTGTGGCAGTAGCTGCAGTGCCCAGCTGGTCGGGGTGCTTCGGTGTCTCTGAGAAGGTTTCAGCCCCATTGTCGCCACTGTTTTCTCCTCAGAGGGACGCAGCCCAGGGGCGCTGTGGTGTGGGAAGGCCCCTGTGTCCCGGAGGAGTGGTGCGTTGCCGGTGGGAGCGTTTATCCCCGCCACTGTGTCTCCTGCTTTAAAATGGGCTCCCGCTTTGAAGCTTGGATGTCAAAAGTGCTTAATTTAGTTGGCCTCACACAGACTAGGAATCAGCAAGAGTGCTGAGAACTGTGCGCCCTGAGTGACCACAGGCAGGTGACAGCCCAGAGCATGATCGCAGAAACATGTAAGAGGGCGCTGGGGACCCTGAGGTTAGACTGCCCATTTCGGTGAAGCCTCCTCCTGGCATTCATAATGCATTAGGATCTACCCCAGGGATCTATCCACCGTTCCCAGGGACACATCCTCCTTTGACACTGCTATGACGATATGTGGGCAAGCGTCACCTACATGGACTTTCCCTGGCCTTAGCTTAGTAGCATCTGATATCATGGCCCCTGTTTGTCACATCCAGTCATAAAAGAGCAAACCCTTCCTTATAACCCCTGCCATAATATTCCTTAGTTGAGTGTCTATATCTGGAATCCTGTGACGAGACAACTCTCTGAACTGCAGCAGTGCATATGTGTATATGTGACCAGAGTCTCCTTTTGTATGCCCTCCTGTTGTTTAGTTTTTCGGTGCTCTCTTGTGGTGTCTCCACACTTTTGTTTTGTTACCAAGTAAACACAAGGGAGAGAATTTTATACTGATACCTGTATGGGTTGTCCTGCTAGCCCTGGAATCATGGTTCTGAGAATCCTAGAAATGTAATCCTACAAACTTACCTATTTTAAAAAACCATACAGAACAGATCAGTGTTTGCCAGAGGTGGGAGGTGAAGTGGGTGAAGGGGGTCAAAATGTTCAAAATTCCAGTTGTAAGATAAATAAGTCCTAGGATGTAGTGTACATCACGGTGACTATAACTAATCACACTGTATTGTATAATTAATAACATTGTATCATACAGTATAATAACACTGTGCTGAGAATAGATCTTAAAAGTTCTCACCACAAGAAAGAAAATTTTTGTCACTGTGTGTGGTGACAGATGTTGACTGATTATGGAGATAATTTCTCAGTACATACAAATATTAAATCATTATCCTGTACACCTGAAACGAATATAATGTTACTTGTCAGTTGTATCTCAATAAAAAACATAGAAAAATGATGCTGTGTTTTTCACTCTTCAGATATTTTGTAGACACAACTGGATAAAGCCCAGTAGTGATGGAACCTAAGAGAAATGCAGCTAAACTAACGTGCACAGGAATCCCCGATTAATCTTTTAAAACTGCACGTCTGACTTAGCAGGCCTGGCATGGGCTCTGAGAGGCCATGCAGCTGTCTGTGACGTACCTTTTGAGAACCAGGCTTTCAGTTATAACTTCTAGAACAGAGACTGTAATTCTGTATAGATCCCTGTATTCAGTGGAGTCACAGTAAGGACTGGGTAGATGACCATTTACAATATACTCTCATGACACCACCTCATTTAGTCATTATAACAGCTCTTGGAGTGCATATTACTATCTCCTTTCTGCATGTAAGGAAGCTAAATTCCTAGATGCTAAGCATCTTCACAAAGAATAATTGCCAGTAGGCAGTAAAGCCAGAACTGGGATTCAGGAATTTTGACTCTAAACCATTAGTGTTTCCCACTGTGCCATAATTTCTTAAACTGTTTCTTGAAACTATGACGTTCCTCAAGTACTAATAAAAAAAACCCAAAATATGCTAGATTTGTTTTCCCTTCTAAACGGAATTTAAAAGTCTACATACAAGGAGAAAAAAAGACATCCCTCATTTTGCCATCCTCTGCCTATAAGGAAAAGGTGTCCCAGAGCCCAGAGCTCCAGGAAGCTCAGGTGAGACTGTGTGATACAGAAACTCATGACGTCCCAGGTGTTCTTTGATGCGTGGACAGCTGCAGCCAGTGAAATGTAGCGTCTTCTGTGCCCTGTTTCAATCTGTGAGTCCCTGATGGGGTCTGCACGTTATGACTGAAATATTTTACGGTCAGAGGGGAACATGTGAGGCGGCCCTGCTCCTTACCCTCTTCATGTCCTCGTAGAAGAGGTAGAGGATGCGGTGCTGGTCCTTGGCATCCCACCATCCCTTCACGTGCTCGTACCAGGAGCCCCAACACACTGCAGGACGGGATCAGAAATAGGGCAGTGAGTCGCAGAAACCCAGCTGACAAGCACCCACCTGGGAGGAGAATCCTGAAGAGAGGGAGAAGGTCACGCTGGTGATTCCCTCACCGTAAAGAAGGCAGAGCCCCTGCTGTTCTAAGGAAATGATGACTTCTCTGTAGAGTATTTGAGGATTTTGAGAAAGGGTGGGAACAAAGCTGAGTTCTCTCACCGTCCCCAGCCAGAAAACTCTCAAAGTACTCTTCCCAGGTTCCTGGAGCAGGAAGCCCTTTATTCATCCTGTGGAAGTGGTAATAAGACACCATGCTGTCCTTGGGGTTTCTTGCTACATAGATTATCTGGGAGTAGAGGGAGGGAGGGAAGAAGCAAAACCGGGATTAGACCAACAGTTACGTTAGGGTGGGTATATTCCATACAGATGAATTTTTCCGATGCTGCATTCCTGTGATTTGGCTTTTGTGGGAGGTGGAAAGCATTCATATCAATTTGCATATTGATGATGTGACAAGGTGGACTCATTTTTTTTTTTAACAAGCAAAGTGTTTTAAGAGGAAATGGATTGAGGACCAGTCTGAGGTCCTTCTAAGGGGTCAACTCTGAATTCCTTTGGCTCTTTACCTTACAGTTTTTCTCCAGGAAGGATGGTGGCAGCAAGTGGATGGGAAGGTGCGTCTTCAGGATCCGTGGTGAGGGCATTGCATTAGCTTGTTCCAAGCCTGTAAAATTAATTTTCAATGACTTCCCATTATTTTTCTCTATTTGCTTCAGAATCTTGCTGCTTTGTTATTACTACGTTAGGAACAGTTCCAGGCCGCCTGTAACTCTGTGGATCTCATCTGAGAGAATACTTGTAGCTCACGAATGGGTTTTTTGGGCTAGAGCAGTAGTTTTTGTTTTTGTTTTCGTTTTGCAGTACGCAGGCCTCTCACTGTTGTGGCCTCTCCCACTGTGGAGCACAGGCTCCGGACGTGCAGGCTCAGCGGCCATGGCTCACGGGCCCAGCCGCTCCGCAGCATGTGGGTTCCTCCCGGACCGGGGCACGAACCCGCGTCCCCTGCATCGGCAGGCGGACTCCCAACCACTGCGCCACCAGGGAAGCCCGGCTAGAGCAGTTTTTAAGCATAACAATAAACCAAATAAAGAAGAACCTAAAAAATTCAAACCCTTCCACTATAAAATTATCTTACGTAGGCTCATCCTTGTGGAGTGAAGTTAATTTCTAATTGGAGAATCAAAACTTAACTTACTTTTGCATAAACAGTAACTTGATTAGAAAATGTCTGGAGTTAGAACGATGGCCAGATGGTGAGAAAGATAGTCACGGAGTCCATCGATGGTTGTTTGAATGCCTAGAATTCTGAGAGGGCTACTGGATAGTAAAAATCCCTGGTGGGTGTCTAGGCCCGGGGTCAGGTGCAGCTGTGCCGTACTCACCAGATTCCATGCCCGGGATTTTCCACTCGATGAAGGGGAATCGCTCGTGAGTAGGTGCCCGCTGGCTTCTGTCAATATCACCCTCGTTTTGTATCAAGTCCACGATCTCCTGCGTCCAGGTTGTTCCTTATTCCCCAGGAAGATGAGGAAGCACAGGCTTTAACTACTGCAGTTCTTAGAATGTGACCAAACACTTGTTAGAGCAGCTGTGTGAACTTTAAAGCCAGCTTTATAATGGAATTCAGAAACCATCCTTCTTTGTTTATGTCTTGTGTTATCATAATATGGTATGATATGGATTTTTATACAAAGACTCCAATTTGGAGTGGACATTAGGTTCATAAATATATAGTTCTTTTTTTATCCTGTACAACCATTAATCAGGATTGTTACGCTATTGAGTCAGCTGCATAGCTCCTTAGAAAGGCAGAACGAGAGTCCTTCTCACCAGCCTGTGATGTGGAGAGTCATCACGGTGTGGTCTTTAGACTCTGTTTCCCAAGTGCGTAGCATGGGCTTGCTACGCAGGAGGAGGCTCTTGTTATATGTTGGCCGAATGAATGAATGATTAGGGCTTAGTCTCCATTTTCACACTTTCCTTTATTTTACCTGAAAGGCTAAAAAGTGCATTCCCTAGGCTCCTTTGCTGCCGAGATTCTAAATGTCCTGAGATCTGATTTACATTCTGGGATTTGAGGGAAGGAGGCAGAGGTCTGATTGATAGAAGATGTGCAGAGGCCACTCCGCATTTTGCTGCCTGGAACCTCGACCCAGAGGCTGCGCCCTCACTGCCCCCGCTGCCCCCGAGAAGGGCCTCTGTCTCCCAGCTCCGGTCAGCTCCTGTGGGCCGCCCCATCCTGACCAGCGTGGGGCTGCCACCTGACCTTCGGCCTTGGCTGAAGACTACTGACCAGACACCTGACAGTCCGTGGCAGGAGGAGGCTGGGAGACTGAGCTCTGAGTCCTGGGTCTGGGCTGATCAACTCTGGTTACGAGACCCTTTCTCATGCTCCCAATTCAGCACTTCTAGGTCTACCAGGGGGCACAGCTTAGAAAACAAGAGAGCAGCTGCAGTTTATATCCTCGATCAGTTAGCTTCTAATATTTTCTGACACCAACTCTTTCATTACGGGATCCAGGACCAATATTTCTTTAGCTATTGACTCAAAGGAAGTTCAAGTGTACTCGTTTTGTGTGTTTATTCTGAATTGACAGCCACGGGCTAACGCTGGGGCAGACTCCAGTGCGACTGGAGGTTCAGGGTCAGATCGTCCCCTAGCAGTCAGCGGTTCTGCAGTGTGTTTATCTCACCTCAGTCACAGAGCACTTACTATTCTGCTAAAAAGTTAGGTGTGAACCATTCCATGATCTGATTGTTTCCTCCCTCTGGTCAGTAGAGCCTTTACTAGTGCACAGGTTTTGAGTGATTGACTAAGTATTACCTTAGCTGACAAGTGCTTCACCTTTTGCGTGTGTTGTTTGCATTGTACGGTCCTGCTTGCCCCTAACCCATGAAAACCCCGAATGAACCAAATCTTAATGCTCACACATGGCAGGTGGAGAAAAGATGAGTGATTAAGCATTGTCCTGAAATTATGGTAATAAATTAAGAGTTGTGGGTGAAATTAAGGCAGTGAGATGTGATCCCCACCAGTGGGTGCTTTCAGAAATTCACATTTAGAAAATTTTAATTCTGAAGAGACTCATGATAGTAAGATCAGAAAATCAGGGCCGATATGACACCGATGGATGGGTGAGTCTAAGGCCCCATCTACCTGTAGAGCCTTTTGTCAGATCGTTACAGATAAAGGCAAAGGGGGTGGAGCGTGTGTGCGTGTGTGTGTGTGCACATGTGTGTGAGCATGTAGGAGAAGTTATTGACATGGAGCTTGACTTTGCAGAGAGCAGATGTCAGTGCAATTGGGGTATGAGTTGAATACTGTATTTTTGGTCTAACTGTAGATATACACAAATAACTGCAGAGAACTCTTTCTCTCTGCTCACCCCCACATTTTTATGATGCAGTGGCTGAGCTCAAGTTTGTCTTGTTTCTTCAGTGACTTTGTTAAACTGACTATTGAAATAAGAAAGTAGGTTCACAACCTACCACCAGGGAGTGTGGAAATTAAGAGAGTATTTCTGGGACCCTGAGCTGGGAGACTTACAAGCTCAGCATTGCAGAGCCCAAGCCCCTCCTCTTCCCTAGATCAGGCAGGGGTGCCCTGTCTGGCTCTGCTATATGGGCCTGTGCTGGGAACAAGTAAGGCAGCAAGTCTGGCCCCTTTGTTTTGGGCTGTTTGATTCACTCACTTTCAGGGAAGTAAAAAAACAGGTACATCACAGAAAGAATTAAATTCTTAAGATGTGTAGGTCATTTTAATATTTTTTGTGTGGTTTCAGTTACTACCTGTGATTTGTCTTGGCAGTATCACTCTGCCCAGTAAACAGCTTTCCACTCAAATCCAGGTCGGTTTCTTTATTTCATTATTATTATTATTATTTTTTGTTGCGGTACATGGGCCTCTCACTGTTGTGGCCTCTCCCGTTGCGGGGCACAGGCTCTGGATGCGCAGGCTCAGCGGCCATGGCTCACGGGCCCAGCCGCTCCGCGGCATGTGGGATCTTCCCGGACCGGGGCACGAACCCGTGTCCCCTGCATCGGCAGACGGACTCTCAACCACTGCGCCACCAGGGAAACCCTCTTTATTTCATTATTGATGCATCTTTCCCGCTTCTCTTCCTAACCCTCCTCTGCGTCTCCCCCCAATCCCTCCCGCCTACCTGCTTTTGGGTAGGTGGAAATGAGCAGGTCATCAGGCCTGGCTCGGAAGTTCCAGATCTGATCCCAGGTGTCACAGGTGGGCTTGGGCTGCAGAATCCCCTCCACGTAGTCCACAGCCAGGCGCTCCGTGCCGTCATATTTCAAGTCCTCCATTTTGTTCAAAGCCAAGAGTGTTGGATATCAGATTTCTGCTCCAGGAAAGTGTTACCCTCAGTCAGCTCAGAGCTGCGTTCTTGGCATCGTACAGGCAGGGCAGAGCTCAGACCTCAGGTCCTGCCTTGGGCTGGCAGTCGAGTGGGGAGCCAGCCCATCCAGGGAGCTGGGACTCTTGTTTAGGGCTTTGCACACAGCGCAAAGTCCTCAACAGCCTCAGCGGGGCTCTGATGTAGCCGCCGAGCCCTTGGCTCCTGGCTGCCATTCAGGGTCCTGTGCGCATTCAGCCCTGCTCTTCTGTACCGTTAGCAAGAGTCAGTGCCACCTCACTTGTAGTTCTCCTCTGTGTCCACAAAATAATTCACAGATCTCCATTAATTGTTTCTTCTGGGAATTTTAAGCTAATTAAGAAGTTGCAGGGAATCTGCCCGCGGGATTACAGGTTGCAACGCAGCATGCCTACACCGAAAGGCTGGAGGGAAGTTTCTGTGCTGCTAACAATGACAGCCTAGATTGAACCTCCCAGCACAGATGGCCGAAGGGGTCAGCGTTGTTATTTTTAAGAGTAAAGTAAACGAGGCTCTAATAGCGAAGGTTCCCTTCCTGTTGTAGGCTGTTAAGTGTCCGTATCAGTCGGTGTCTGTTCACAGCTAATAAAACATGTTTGTCTTACCTGAAGCCAAGTGGATGCAAAAACTTGGGAGCTACAGAACACACACCCTCTGGCTTCTTCCTTCCTGGAGTTCACCTCCCAGCTTCGTGCCACATCCCCTGTAAGCCCCTTGTTTTCCTAAAAGCCTTGGTGCTTATTTATCCTCCTTGTGCCTTTCCTTGGAATCGTTCCTGGCTGCAGCGGAGTTCTTTTCCCCTCCTATTTCCACCACAACCCTTCTCGGCTGACCACCTCGAAAACAAGACCAGACCTGCCCAGGTCTCCTGTTTCTCCTTGTGATATAATCGAGAACACGTCTGGTCTTTGTCTCTGGTTCCCGATGCCGAGTTTCAAAAGCCCTTTTAAGTCCCTGAGTGATTGGAGCCTTTGGTTGTTCACCGTGAGTCCCTTTAGACCACACCTGAGTTGGTGCCAACGAGGTGACACCTGCTGGGCCCATAGACAGTTCCAGGGGAGGGGCCGCCACGGCAGAAGATCGAGCATGTGATCACAGGGTTGGGCCTTTCCATCCCATCCCCCCTCCAGGGAGAGGAGAGGGTCTTGGAGAGTGGGGTCAGCCGTGTGACCAGTGACATGAGAACCCACGAACCCCGGACCCCGAGGCTCTGTGCAGCTTCCCGGCAGGTGAGCGCAGTGAGGGGCCGGGCCAGGGGGGTGCCGTGCCCAGGCTCCACGAGGACAGGGGGATAGGGCACGGCAGCTCTGCTCCCTCTGTCCCAGACCTTGCTCCCAGCACCTCTTCCATTTGGCTGTTGTGATCTGAATCCTCTATGATGAAACTGTAATTGTAGGTGTAGCGCTTTCAGTGAGTCCTGAAAGCACCATTATGGCTGCTGTGGGGGTCATGGGGACCCTCCACACTTAGAGCTGGTTGGTCAGAAGCACAGATGGTCCCCACGACTCATGGGTGCATCTGGGGGGTGTGGGTCTTGGGAAAGACTTTGCCCTTGACCTCTGGGTCTGCGCTAACCCCTGGTGGTCAGTGTCAGTACGGAAGCCAGTTGACAGAGAACCACCCTGCAGCTGCCGCAGATGCTGTTCCTGCCAGCAGGAGTCTCCCTTCTTGCTCAAACCACTTCCCACCCAGACCTTCACAGCACCCCACGAGGGCCTCCGCGTGGCGCCCCTGCGGTACCTGGGAGCCCAGGGTGTGCACACTGCCCGCTCTGCAGCCCTGATGCCCCCCGTGTCCCCCCTCCTGTGTCCCCGTGCCTCCCGCAGGCACAGGCTCCCGCCGCCGTGGCTGTCCTTCATTTCCCGGCTTCACCCTCTGGCTCAGGCTCACCTGCGTCTGAACCTTCAGATCTTCCTTAACGTCCTCCCTAAACAGCCCCTCTCTGGAGAGCCTGTCCCTGAACTTGGGTGCCTCCCCTTTCATTGCTGGTGGCCCTGTCCTGTCCTTTGGAGCAGCCGTCCGCACTCAGCCCCGTGTCCTCCCCTGTCCGCCGCAGCACGGAAACTGGGCTCTGCCCGTGTCCTCACCGCAGCCGGCCCTGTGGCTGGCGCCTGTGTCCTCTGCAGAAGGGAAGAGGGAAACGAACTGGAGAACCGAGGGAGTGAGGTCTGGGAGCCACCACCGTGCCGGGGTTAGGCGAGCTGGTGGCTGAGGCTGGGGGTCTGAGACGGAAGGCAGACACCGGACGCCTGCCCTGACCCCTGCACCAGCTCCCGGCAGCCGAGGACTGTGGACGGGGTGCTGACCCTCTGTGCCCCTGCACCCCGACTTTCCTCTGAAAATGGGGGTCATGACAGCCTCTGCCTATGGAGTTGTTGTGCGAATGAAAGTGTGTTTACCACTCAGCAACCTTATCTGTGAATAATGAGCCATGACTATGGGCCCCTCTTCCCGTGTGACCTCAGGGGGATGCCTGGGCTCTCCCTGCCCCTCAGCCTCCCTGTCGGCTGTCGGGAGATGGATGGACGCTTGGGACCAAGGCTGCCAGGTGGAATTCCTGGCCCTCACATGCATTTTAAAAGACTTAGGAAAATTATCTGTGGCTTTTCAGAGAAATTTCTTTCTATGGTCTTTATAGTTCTGTGTGCCAGCAGAGTAGAGAGCTGGGGAGCTTAGCAACATCTTGGCAGTTTTGTTTAGTCCCTTGTGTGCTGGGGATGGAGGGCTGGGAGACAGGGAGAAAATGCCCCCCGTCCCCGAAGAGGACTGGCTGAGGTTGAAATAGACCTGGGGAGAGTTGTAGATTTCAAATAACCTGAAAAATTTTCATGAGTGCACGGATGGTTCCTATTCTCATTTAATATTTTTCCCCAATAATATCAATACTTTCTCACAAGTTCAGGAAAATTAAATAAAGTGTTGTACTTAGATATTATAAAATTCACGTGGTGCTAAGTCTCCATCTGCTAAGCATTGCTTTGGAATTCCAGATCTCTGGGGTTGGATTGAAGCTGCCCCGTGTAGACTTTCTAGTCACTCAATCCCTTCTGAGCCGTTTTAGCCTCACGGGATTAATGTAAGAATTGAGGCGTGTAAGTCATTCTGTGGTGTTGGCACACGGTAGGCACCAGAGGTAAAATCACTGCCCTTTCTCTCCTAAGTCTTCCTGGTTCCTCTTTCCCACTGTTTTCCTCCAGGTGTGGGGAGGAGACCCCCTCCTGCCCTCTCTGGATGTCCCAGGTGCAAACCAGGGGCTTGTCTAGGCCTCACATGTGATCCCTTTGAAAAAATTACAAAGGGGCTTTCTAACCTGCTTTTCTTAGGAAAAGTCAGAATGCAGGTCATTTTTCTTAAACAGGTTCTTGTTTGTACGTTTTTACAGAAGGAGCAGGTCTAAAACATATTTTGGTTCAGCAAACTGTTTTAAAAGACAACTATTGGGAAGTGGGCTAAGCTCGTACTGAATAAAATTGAACTGAAATTGTCTTTATTCCTTGAATCAGTCTTTCGCTTATTGGGCTTTTTATAAACTCCTCAATTGTTATCCAGTCCTTGAGACCAAGTCAGGAGGAAAGAGGAGGAACAGGGCCATGGTCAGTATGACCGGAACCACATCCAGACTGTGTGGGACCAGGGCTCGTCTGGGGTCACGCACAGCCCATCCCACCTTCTGATTCGGTGGCCTTGTGGCCACACTGCTGCAGGGCTCGGCTCTAGGAGCTGAGGAGGGAGAAAACCAAAGTCAGAGGAAGTGTATTAGTTGGTACTTGCCGCTTCAATCAACTGCAGAGATTGGGTTGGTTCTGAACTCGTAGTGAAGTGACGGAAGGATGCACGAAACCTTCAATCTCAGATCATCCCTTAAAACAAAACCCCAAGAATCTTTACATTCTCGGAAGAATAAAAAGCTGGTCAAAATGCAGAACATCCAGTTATATTTGAATTTCAGGTAAACGACAAATGAATTTTTAGAATGAGCCTGTCCCATGCGATATTTGGGACATATTTATACTTACAAAAATCATCTGTTGTTCTGTATTTTATCTGGAAGCTCTATGTGGGCGGGAGGTTGCTAGCTCAGTCTAACTTCAAAGCGGCAAAGCTCCGGAGGCTTACTGAGTGGGATTAGAAACACAGGGAAGCGGAAAGCCCTTTGGACTCTCTCGTGGCTCCCCACTGGCTCATGGGGAGATGTGTGTTGTCTGCACTTTCCAGTTATTTGCGTCCTTGCAGCTTGCTGCTCGGGGCTGGACATCTGTCAGCTTGTTTTGTGGCGATGGTACCGCTTACCATCAGTATACCATTCAGTATACAATACTGAATGTGAGTGTAAAACATCTAGACAGACTTTAAATTTGTAGACCAGCCTAGGAAAGCCTTCTGTGCTCTTGCAAGGAAAGGAATGCTAAGATAAGTTGCTAATATCACTACTCTTGCTAATGAAAATATTAATCTCATGCTAAAAATATTGTTTCCTTAATTTTTTTATCAGAACTAAGCAACAGAATCAATGAAATTTGTTCTACTATTTTCAGTTTTCCCACTAGTTACAAGAACAGAATCCCTCAGTATCCTGGGGATTGGTTCCAGGACCCCCGCAGATACCAAAATCCACGGAAGCTCAGGTGCCTTATGTAAAACGGCACAGTACAATCGGCCCTCTGTATCCAGGGTTTCTGCACCTGCGGACTTAACCAGCTGTTGAACGTGTAAGTACAGGCACACATCCTTTTATTGTGCTTCGCTTTATTGCACTTTGCAGATATTACATTTTTTACAGATTGAAGGTTTGTGGCAGCTCTGCAATGAGCAAGTCTATCAGCTCCATTTTCCCAACGGCATTTGCTCACTTCTCTGCATCAGGTTTTGGTAATTCTCGCAATATTTCAATCTTTTTCATTATTATTATATTTGTCATGGTGATCACAGATCACCATAACAGATGTTACTCTTGTAAAGGTTTTAGGGGGCCATTAACTGCACCCATATAAGACGGTGAGCTTAATCAATAATGTTGTGTGCGTTCAAAGTCCACCGACTGCTGTTCCCCCATCTCTCTCTCTCTCCTCAGGCCCTTCCCTGTTCCCTGACACGCAGCAATATTGAAGTTAGGCCAGTTAATAACCCTACAATGGCTCTAAGTGTTCAAGTGAAAGGAAGACTCACACGTCTCTCACTTTAAATCAAAAGCTAGAAAAAATTAAGCTTAGTGAGGAAGGCATGTCGAAAGCTGAGACAGGCTGAAAGCTGGGGTTCTTGCACCAGTCAGCCAAGTTGTGAGTGCAAAGGAAAAGTTCTTCAAGGAAATTAAAAGTGCTGCTTCAGTGAACACAGGAATGATAAGAATGGAAAGTAGCCTTCTTGCTGATTGCAGAAAGTCTCGGTGTCTGGACAGAAGATGAAACCAGCCACAACGTTCCCTTAAGCCAAAGTCTAATCCAGAGCAAGACCCTGACTCTCTTCAGTTCTTGAAGGCTGAGAGACGTGAGGAAGCTGCAGGAGAAAAGTCTGAAGCCAGCGAGGTCGGTTCATGAGGTTTCAGGAAAGAAGCTGCCTCCGTAACATAAAAGAGCGAGAGGAAGCAGCAAGTGCTGGTGTAGAAGCTGCAGCAAGTTATCCAGAAGATCCAGCTAAGAGAATTCATGAAGCTACACTGAACAACAGATTTTCAATGCAGATGAAACAGCCTCCTATTGGAAGATGCCATCTAGGAGTTTCACAGCTAAAGAAGTCAATGCCTGGGGCTTCCCTGGTGGCTCAGTTGTTGACAGTCCGCCTGCCAATGCAGGGGACACGGGTTCGTGCCCCGGTCCGGAAAGATCCTACATGCCGCGGAGCGGCTGGGCCCGTGAGCCATGGCCGCTGAGCCTGGGCGTCCGAAGCCTATGCTCCGCGACGGGAGAGGCCGCAACAGTGAGAGGCCCGCGTACCGCAAAAAAAAAAAAAAAAAAGATGTCTTCATGCTGCTGTGTGTAAATCTGTTGCTTCTAGTTAATTGCTTTCTGATAGCAAGGTATGCGTCCACCACATTTTACTGATTTACCCTCCCCGCCCGGCAGTGGGCACCCAGGTAGCCTTCAACTCTCAGCACAGGGACGCCTGGAGGAACAGGGGTGTGAGCATCCCCTATACATGCTCCCTTATGGGGCTGCATACCCATTTACTTGGGCTCTGTACCTACAGCTGGAATTTCTGGGTCGAAGAGTGTTTGTTTACTCATTTTGACGTGTTGCTGGGTTGCTCTCCTGTCCACCGTCACCAGCAGGACATTATCTGGCTTTCCAACCTTTGCTTCTGTAACAGATATGAAATGACAGCCCATGGTTTTCCTTTGCAGTTATTCTTATTTACTAATGATTTTGAGCATCTCTTCAAATATTTGGTCATTTTTTGTATTTTCTCTTCTGAAAATTGCCTTCCTCAAGGTCCCCTTTGCCCATTTTTCTATTTGGGTTTTATCTTTTTCTTACCAATTTGAGAGTTTCTTGTATATTCTGAGTATTAGTCCTCTGTGGTTTTAGACATCGCAAATAACTTTTGTCATTCAGTTTTCTTTTTATTTGCCTTTTTTATGGTGCTCTTTGATGAACAGAAATTAAAAGTTTTGATGTCTCAAATTCATTAAGTATTTTTGCCTTTTGTTTCGTACTTTTGAAGTTTTGTTGAAAAAAAATCCCTTTGCTCTTAGGTCTCAGAGGTCTTTGTGAATTTTATTCTTATAATTTCACATTTCACGTTTAGTCTTCAGTGTACGAGAGTCCACCTTCGAATGAGACCCAGAAATCTCTCAAGACCCAGTGGAGTGTCTCCGCTTTCTGGATCTCAGGAAACCTCTGAAATACGTATCCCCGAGGTTTTACGAGTAAATTACAGGCAAACCTCAGAGATACTGTGGGTTTGGGTCCAGACCACATAATAGAGTGAATATCGTGATAAAGTGAGTCACACGAGTGTTTTGGTTTCCCAGTGCACATAAGAGTTGCGTTTACACCATACTGTAGTCTATTAAGTGTGCAATAACAGTATGTCTAAAAAGCAATGTACATCTCAATTAAAAATGCTTTATTGCTAAAAAATGCTAACCATCATCTGAGCCTTCAGTGAGTCGTGGTAGTAACATCAAAGGTCACTGATCACAAATCACCCTAAAAATGTAATAATAATGGAAAAGTTGGAAATATTGCGAGAATTACCAAAGTGTGACACAGAGACACAAAGTGAGCAAATGCTGTGAGTAAAAATGGCGCCGATAGACTTGCTTGACCCAGGGTTGTCACGAGCCTTCAGTTTGTAAAAACTGCAATGTCTGTGGAGCACAGTGAAACAAGGTCTGCCTGTACGAATAGGACAGCCTTGGACTTTGGTACTGGGGAGGCAGGGATGCTGACTGTGTTGGCCGCGGCGGGAGTGCTTCATGGCCAGGACGCGGGCGGTCACCAGACACCCACTCTCCCCAGTGTCTCTGGGGTTCCTCCCACATGCTTTGTTTCTCTGCTCCACAACCCTGATGCACCTTTCAGTTTATTTTAGTGTGTATCACAGTTTCCTTGATGGTACAGCTTGCTGTGGTCCCTACCAGGCTGCACTTTTCTTGGGGGAAGCAACCCTATTTTTATCATCTTTCGATGCCCTCCACTCCCCAGCATGAATAAGGCACTCAGTACAAGTCTGTTATCAAATGAATGGCGTGGGAATTTTTGACGAATAAGATTGAAATAAATGTTTTAATTCAAAGAAAATTATAACAGAAGGTAGAAAGAGGATATATAGAAGGAACAGAAATGAAAATGTGTGTGATATTATATATTACATGTTGATATATTGAAATTCACCTAAAGACTGAAATTCTGCAGAGAGAGAAGGAAAATGAAACACCTTAATGCTGCGTAACTGAAGTCACACTGGGTTCATCCAAAAGGCAGATCAGGCTGAAATGTCCAGGTCGTGGTTTAAAAACCCTGACATCACATCACACGAGCCATTCGTGGTTTTTGGAAACAGGTTTCTCTTCTGCTTCACAGAGGCTGCTCTTTAAAGGTCCATGCAGAAGGACAGAGAACTATCAGCCATGTTTTTCTCATAATTTTCATTAAACTTCTTGGTCTGAGCTTCAGTGAACTGATTCCTCCACTCTCCAGTGACTTCTAGAAAGAGTGATGGATAGCACATTCAGGGACGTTTTCACAAACTTTAACGCGTGTAGATAATCCCTTTCCCCTCGGTACTTAAATGCCTGACACAGACACTGGCTGGGTGTCCTCCTGATATTGAGTGAGATGTGAGGGTACAGGGGTGATCACCGCACTTCACAGGTGAGGCATTTGTGAATAGCCTTTTTCTGAGACACTTGGGTGGGAGGAGATCTAGATGTGGTTTATCTAATTCTTGGTGTCACGCCCTGCAGCCCTCTGATCATCCAGGACTTCCTGAACCCTCAGTTCATTTCACTTTCTACTTAAGGTAACTGGACCCGGTTTTCTCCTCCTCTCCTTAGAGGTCTCTGGAGGGCTGCATCCTCAGAGCATCCTCTGTCCTGCATCTGTATCTCTAGTTCAGGCCACATTCCTAGTTAAACACAGCTGAGAATCCTCCTTTCCAGCCTGAATTATCATTGTGTTAATGTGTAATTGAATTAAAGCAATAGAATATGAAGGAATGGTAAGGTTCGTTAGCTTTATTTTATGCTTATGCAATAGAGTATTCACAATTTTTCAGCTTCAACAACTAAAAATGGCCACAGACCCCACAGAGAGCTGTTTCTGTTCTGATTTCTCCATGCTGTCTGCTTCACGTAGGCTCTTTGAGCTCTGTGTAGTATTATTTTCATGTGTGAAGTGTAAATCTGCGTAATTCTCTAGGGGTAATAAATTATATGGTTATATAATTTATCAGTTAGCTTACAAGAAATTAGATGACAAGTGACATCAGCAAAATGGTGGAGTAGGAGATATGAGCCTTCATACCCCACCAAAAAAAATCCCAGCCATCCACGAACAAAAATAGTCCTGGGAAGGGCTTCAAGAGTCTAATTAAGGACCTAAAGCAACACAGTGGAGCCCAAACAGGAGGATAACCACACAGAGAGGATTGCTGGGGGGACTGGCACAGCAGAGCTGTCTGGAGGTGGCTGGGCTCAGAGAAGGGGGCTACCAGTGTCAGACACACAGCGGAGCCACCGTGCCCCCAGGGCCTGCTCTGCAGGGGACCCCAGCAGCCTTCGTCCCTGAGGACCTCAGTCGCCCTGCGTGGGCTCTGCAGCCTTCATAGGATTTGTCAGTGTGGACCCCAGTGGCCTGCCCCGCAGGGCATCCCAGCAGCTTCCCCACTGAGGTAACCAACAGCCACTACAGACCCTCTAGAGAGGAAGACACTGCCGTGTGCCCTCCTCTCCAAGAAGGAGCCGTGGTCGTGCTGCCCTGGGACCGTGACCTCCACTCACCCCACCCCTTGCATGCCCTGGCCCCAGTCCCCAGCCGCTCCGTACATGCCCCCTCTCCACACCCAGGCCCCACGACCACTTGGCATATGTCTGCACTCCGAACTCTGGCTCTATAACTGCTCCCATAGGCTTTCTTTATTCTTTTTCATTCTTTTTCTTTTTGTTCCTCTAACTGTTAGAGAATAAAGAAAGCCTATGGGATTTATGAGACACCTTCAAGAGAATAAATATACAAATCTTAGAAATACCAGGAAAGAAAGGGGCAGAAAACTTATTTAAAGGTATAATGGCTAAAACTTCTCAAATCTGGGGACAGATATGGCATCCAAGGACATGAAGTTTCAACCAAAAGAGGTTCCTCACTGAGACACACTGGAATCATGCTGTCAAAAATCAAAGACGGAGACATTTGAAAGCAACGAGACAAAAGAGGCTTATCACATAGCAGGGAACCCTCATAAGGCTATCAATAGATTTCTCCACACAAACCTTGCCGGCCAGGAGAGAGTGAGATGAGATAGATATTCAAAGTGCTAAAAGAAAAAAAAAAGAAACTGTCAACCAAGAACACATTACTTGGCAAAGCTATCCTTATGTACAAAAGATAAAGAGAAAGGAATCAAAGCATAACACTACAAAAAATCACCAAATCATAAAGGAAGACAGCAAGAGAGGAAGAAAGGCACAAAGGAACTACAAAAGAACAAGAAAACAATTAACCTCTAAGACCAGCAACAAGACAAGGTTGCTCACACTTGCCACCTCTGTTCAACATAGTTCTAGACAGAGCAATTAGGCAAGGAAAAGAAATAAAAGGCATCTAAAATGAAGAGGAAAGGGCTTCCCTGGTGGCGCGGTGGTTGAGAGTCTGCCTGCCGATGCAGGGGACATGGGTTCGTGCCCTGGTCCGGGAAAATCCCACATGCTGTGGAGCGGCTGGGCCCGTGAGCCATGGCCGCTGAGCCTGCGCGTCCGGAGCCTGTTCTTCACAACGGGAGAGCCCACAACAGTGAGAGGCCCGCGTACTGCAAAAAAAAAAATAAATAAATAAAATAAAATAAAATGAAGAGGAAAAAGTAAAATTATCTCTGTTTGCAGATGACATGATCATATATGTGGAAAACTCATAAAGACTACATTAAAAAGCTGCTAAACAAATTCAGTAAAGTTACAGGAAACTAAATAAACATAAAAATCAGTTGCATTTCTATATACTAACAATGAACTATCTGAAAAATAAACTAAGAAAATATTTTATTTATAATAGCATCAAAAAGAATAAAATACTTAGAAATAAATTTAACCAAGCAGATAAAAGATCTGTACACTGAAAACTATAAGATAATCATTAAAGAAATTGAAGAAGAAACAAATAAATGGAAAGATACCCTGTGTTCACAGATTGGAAGGGTGAATATTGCTAAAATGTCCATACTACCCAAAGTGATCCATAGATTCAGTGCAACCTCTATCAAAATTCCAATGGCATTTTTCACAAAATAAATGTTACAAAGCTATAGTAATCAAAACAGTATGGTTCTGGCATAAAAACAGACACACAGACCAATGGAATACACTAAAGAGCCCAGAAGTAAACCAAACATATATGATCAACTAATTTTCAACAGTGAGGCCAGGAATACATGATGGGGAATGGATAGTCTTTTCAATAAATGGTGCCAGGAAAACTGGATATCCACATGCAGAAGAATAAAATCATCTTATATCATACGGAAAAATCAACCCTGAAAGGCTTAAACATAAGACTTGAAACTGTAAAACTCTTACAAGAAAACATAGGGGAAAAGCTCCTTGGCTTTGGTCTTGGCAACGATTATTTTGATATGACACCAAAAACACAGACAACAAAGGTCAAAAAAACAAGTAGGACTACATCAAACTAAAAAGCTTCTGCAAAACAATGGAAACAATCGAGAAAATGAGAAGTCTATAGAATGGGGGAAAATATTTGAAACCAAAAATTTATAAGGAACTCATACAAATCATACAACTCAATAGCAAAAAACAAGTAACCAGATTAAAAAATGGGCAAAGGACCTGAAGAGACATTTTCTAAGGAGACAGATGGCCAACAGGTGTATGAAAAGATGCTCAACATCACTAATCATCAGTGAAACGCAAATCGAAACCACGATGAGCTATCACCTCACACCTGTTAGGATGGCTATGATCAAAAAGTTAAAAGAGGAATCGTTCATAAGGACGTAAAGAAAAGGGAACCCTGTGTGCTGTTGGTGGGAAAGTAAATTGGTGCAGCCACTGTGGAGAACAGTACGGAGGGTCCTCAAAAAATTAAAAATAGAGCTACCACGTGATCCAGCAATCTCACTTCTAGGTTATATCCAAAGGAAACAAAATTACTATCTCGAAGACACATTTGCCTGTACAGTGGAATATTATTCAACCTTAACAAAGAAGGAAACCCTGACGTTTGTGACAACATGGATGAAACTGGAAGACATTATGCTCAGGGAAATAAGCCAGATATAGAAAGACAAATGCTGCACAATCTCACTTATATGTGGAATCTAAAAAAAATCGAACTCATAATAACAGTAGAACGGTGGTTACCAGGGGGTGGGGTGAAAGGGGAGATGCTGATCAAAGGTACAGACTTTCATTTATGAGAGGAATAAATTCTGGAGACCTAACGTACAACATGATGATTATAACTGAGAATTTATTATATATCGATACTTGAAATTTGCTAAGAGAGTAGAATTCAATTGTGTTTTCACTCCCCCACCAAAAAGAGTAACTGTGTGATGGACGTGTTGTATTATTAGCTTGACTGTGGTGCTCATTTCTCAGTCAAAACATCAAGTTGGGGCTTCCCTGGTGGCGCAGTGGTTGAGAGTCCGCCTGCCGATGCAGGGGACACGGGTTCGTGCCCCGTTCCGGGAAGATCCCACATGCCGCGGAGCGGCTGGGCCCGTGAGCCATGGCCGCTGAGCCTGCGCGTCCAGAGCCTGTGCTCCACAACGGGAGAGGCCACAGCAGTGAGAGGCCCGCGTACCGAAAAAAACAAAAAAAACCCTCCAAAAACCCCAAAAAACATCACGTTGTGTACCTTATATTGACGTTTTACTTGTCAATCATCCCTAAATGAAGCTGGGGGAGAAAAATCCCCAAACCTAAAAAAACCCTCCAGCATGTATAGTACTGCTGTGCCTATAAATATATGTGTCTCTGGACACATAGACAATACCTTTTTCCAATAGAAAAAAAAGAAGTCAGGTTCATTATTGGGCAAATTAGAGAGAAAATTTTTCCTTTGAGCCTTAAGTTTTTGCTTATCTTATCAAACAAAATGTACTAGGATTTTTTTTGTTGTTTCATTTCTCTAAAATAATGACAACTTCACGAAGTTTGTCTCCTTTAAGGGGCTGGCAGTATGGTAGCATCAGGTGGGCTCTGGGCAGGTGGCTGAAGGTCCTGGCTCTGGCTGGGCTGTGAGACCCACTGTGCCCCCGCGGTCATTCTCGGAGAAGTGATTTAACTCAGGGACCACCCTTCCAACCCTCAAGGCCAATGACCTTCGTACTGTCCTCCAGAATGTGCTGGGAAGAACGTGAGCTTCCTGGAGATTAGAGGGTTCACTTGAGAAAGAGTTTGGGTCAAGTACATGTTTGAAGCTCTGAGTTAAGCAGAATTAAACAAGTTCCTTCTCAGAAACTTATTTACGCTCACGTGCTTCAAAAGGGCAGGTACAGAGTGTGGATTCCCACCCTTCTCTGAGCACGAGACATGGGATCTCCCTGAATAAGGCTGTGAAGAACTCACTTCAGAAAACACTGTAGGTAGTGACTCACTGAGCCTGAAGGGTAGAAAGCCACTTATGGGTCAGAAAATTTGTCTATTATCAAGGGACAGACGGGAGCAGGTACGCCTCCTTCAGCGCCACCTCTGCTCCCTCAGATACTCACCACCTATGGCCACGAGCAGGCCAGCCATGTAGACGCTTAGAGAGAATTCCGCGGGTGCGGGAGGCCTGAGGCAGGTGGTGTGGGTTGGTGGGACCATTACGGGCTGTTGGGTCAGGAAGACCTGGGTTTGCAGCCCATCTCGGCCCCCTGCCAGGTGGTTCTCATTGGGCAGCCTGTGTGATGTCTCTGAGCTACAGTGATTTCTGAACGTCCCCCTGTGGCGTCGCCGAGGGGCTGGGGGCGCTCAGGACGGAGCCCCGTGCCATGCCCCCAAGCCCCTGGTGTGGGAGTGCACCCCACCCGCTCTCATCCACCTGACCCGGTGCTTTGGGCGGACAGGTGTGGGGATGATACGGTAGAACACCCTGCGTTCTTACGGGGAAACCGGCCCTGAGTGTTTTCTGCTCCCACCTCACCTTGCAGGTTTTCTCCCAGAAGGATGGCAGCAGCAGTTGCGCAGGAAGGTGACTTTTCAGAGTCCTTGGGGAAGGTATTGCATTTGCCTGGTCGATTCCTGAAAAATTGTTCCAGCATATTTGTTAATTTTTTAAAAAGTTTTATTTTTTATGAATTCTGTCAGCTTTCTTCATGTATGGCTCCTGGGTTTTAGGTCACATTCAGCCCTTCTTCCTCCCTTGGATGATGAAAACCATTCCTCCTTGGTCTCCACTGGCGCTCTGCACCCGTGGTTCGCTGCACGTTAGAATCTCTGAGGCGGGACTTTCCCTCAGGGTCTCACTCACCACTGACCCACCCCCGCCCGCCCGCTCCTTTTCTCATCCCATCAACCTTCAGTACCTACAGCAGAGCCAGCCAGCACCAAACCACCACGTGCAAATGGGTGAGGACACCTCGACCACACCGTAGGTTCAGAAGACCCAGGGCAGGCCTGCGTTATGTCTTCAAATTACTGCTCAAAGAAAATAACAGGGAAATTGTTGAAGAGGCCTGAGGACTCCACAGACGTGTCCACAGGAGGCCTCTAAGGTCAAACCTGAATTACTTAGTGTAGCCTTGAACACTCTCAAAATCTGTCCCCAGTTATTTTTAACCCTCATTTTTGCCACTTTGCCCCAAGCACTCTGGGGTGACACTGGGCAGTTTAGAAAACATGGCACATGTTAGGCTGGGTCAAAAAAAAAAAGGAAAGAAAGAAAAAAAAAGACAAGACAGGACAATTAGCTTGTTAATTCATTTTCCAAATGTGAGTTCCCAAGTCCGCAGTTTTCACGTTGCGTTAGAATGGATTCCTGTGGGAACATTGTTGTTAGAGATGACGGTGCTGGGCCCCTCAGTCTGTGTAACTCCACCCTGTACCTCAGGTGCACGCGTGTGCCTGGGATGGTTCCCGCAGGACACACAGACACAGCACACTCACCCAACACACAACGCATGCACACATAACACACATGCACACACACAACACACACAACACACATGCACACACCATACACAACACATGCACACACAACACACACAACACATCACACACATGTACACACAACACATGCACACACAATACACATCACACACATAACACACATGCACACACACAATACACAACACATGCACACACAACACAATACACACCACACACACACACCACACACACACATGCACACACGCACACATGTGTGCACACACACACTACGGGTTAGTGGTTAAGAGCATGGGCTTCAGAAACAGAATTCCCGAGCCCAGATCCTGGCTCAGTCCTATCAGCTGTGGCCCTTGAGCAGATCATAGCCTCCTGGGCCTGAGTTTCTGTGTCTGTAACGTGGGTGTAAAGTAGCAGCTCCTCAGTGTATTGTGAGGACAAAAAGTGCTAATGCAGGAAAGTGTTTGGAGTAACCCCTGGCCCGTGGTGAGTGCCAGGACTCCACCACGCATTGTTTATTTCCCCATGGAAATTGCCTCAGGAACGCTGACCTTGGATCTGGGGTCCTTGGTGCCAGGCCCCTGTGACATTGGCATATGAAGTCCCCCTGCTGGGGGAGGGCTGGGGAGAGATCCCTTTCCCTGGTGTTTGTAACTCGGTGACACTTTATTTAATAGCGAGGTGGTGCCTCTCTATTGTTTAGCATTAGGGCTAAATAAGTTTTTAAGTGAAGGGGTCTGTCTACCTAGATTTGCACAAGTAAAGGTAACTTGTATACAGCATTTAGAGTTGGGGACCAAAGGGAGGTTTTTTTTTGGGGGTGTGGTAGACTTTCAGACTCTCCACTCCCAAATTGCCCATCTTTACGTGAAGATTACGATTTCGTAAACTGGAGACTTACCAGAGCAGTCCGGTATCCGTATCCATTCCAGGAAAGGCTGTCGCAGGTGGATGGGGACCAATCCGCTCTGCTCAAGGTCTCCACCGTTCTGTATCAGATCTACAACCTCCTGCGTCCAGGTCGTTCCTGAGAAAGAGTGGAGAGCAGAACTGAGGAACAGGTTGCTGATTTTCTGCAGCTTACAATTTAGAAGCATCTTATGCTAGAAAAAGAATTCATTTGTCTATCAGTACCTTACTTATGCTACTCACTACGTTGAATTGAAATCAGCTATTAAGATTATCTTTTCCTCACCAGAAAGTTTCATTAAGGGAAGCAATTAATTTTTATACTCCAATGATGTACTTTTAAGAATTTGAGTATGCATTGGTATTTCTAGAAAATGATAATACAAATAATTAGTGTATGTAACAATAGGGGTTAATTTAAAAAATATTTCCTTTGGAGGAAATTCACAACGATTGCCAAACACTCACTTTTACTATTACACTCTGGTTGCTTATAAATAATCTTGTTTCTCCCCTCTGGTTACTTTTATTTAGAGCCATGACATTGATCCAATGCCAATGATGTGAAAAGGAAGGAAAAGTAAGAATTGGAATTGGTAATTGGTAATCCACACAAAAAAGGAAAAAATCGACATTGAATGAATTCCTCTTTAAGAGGTCAAGAAAGATAGGGTGACGTTAACAGTGACTTCTACATGGAAGTTGAATTGGTTTTAAGTGGAAAAATAACCTTTGCTACATTTGGGGGTGATACCCGTTCTCCCTGGGGCCCCTCTCAGCCTGCACACCCTTGACCTCCCAGGAATTCTCTCCCTGTTTGGCTTCCGGACACTTGGCTGGCCTGGTCTTTTTCTCGGGGAGGAGCCTGGTTTGCACGTGTGTGGGGCCATTGAATCCGATGGACCCCAGTCTTCTCTCTGGGTCCTACGAATTGGGCGGTTCTGGATAAATTATGTAAACCCACCGAGCGTGAGTTATGCTCGTGTGGTTTTGAGAGCGCAAGTGCCAGCCTGCAGTGGGCACTAAATGAATGTCGAGGGTCATAATTGTTAACTGTGTAGGTGCTGGTGTTCCTGCAGGGCCGGGGCTGGTCCAGTGAGACTGTCTTGCTCAGGTAAGATGAGGAGGAAGCTGCCGCAGCTGGTTTCCCGTGGTCCCGGCTCCTTTCCCTGCACCTGGGCCGCGCTCCCTGGGCCCTGGGCTCTGGCACTGTGCCTGCTCAGCTCCTGATTGGTTCCCATTTTTCCTTCTGTCCTGGAATCAGAACTCGCTTCATCCTTGGCCCTTCCGTTGCCTATGCATCAGTGTACGGTCCCAAGTCTGTGTCATCTGGTTCTGCCCGATGCAGGGTGCTCCGGGAGCAGCAGGGGTGGCCTTCTCGCTATGGGCCGGCTCTGCTTCCTTTCCTGGACTCTGAGGGGGGGCTGGCCTCTCGAGGACCTCATGGGTGCCCTCTGCCTGCAGACTCCGCCTCGGACTTGGCTTTGCTGCCGTGGACGCCGTGAGCGACTCCAGAAACCCAGCCTCCCTTGGTGGTCAGTCTGGGCCATGCACAGGTTTCTGCCAGAGCCCCTGGCCTCAACCTCCAGCCTTGCCCTGCACCCCAGGGGCCTCACACCGTGACTCACACTCACCAGTAACTCCCCTCCAGCCCAGGACGGCCGATTCCCACCGACCCAGGTTCCCAAAGTCAACCGCACCGCCTAACTGCAGGGCAATCTGGTCTCTGCCCTTCCATGGACTCTGCCTGCTGGCCGGCACCTTCCCAGACATGGGTTGTTGACGTGAACCGTCAGTGGCTGGAGTGATGCCCCACAGCCGTCCATGGAGGTTCGTAAGTCTGCGGCGGGTGTGTGGCCCGGACTCCCTTCTAAACCGAAGAGTTTACTTTCCCAGCTGCTGAGGGCGCTGCTGGCAGACAGCCCTGAGCTGTTCATCCCTCTTTGGGACCCAGGCCGTGCCCCTTTCCTGTGGCAGCTTGCACCTGACACCCAGGCCTCTCACCCACTCTGGGGTGGCGCCAGCTTGGAGGGGCCACCCCAACTCTGGAGCGCCCAGCCCACGGGCTGGAGGAGGGCTTGCCAGCACCGAGTGGAAGCCCCCGTCCTGCCTCCCTCTGCTTCCCCACAGAGCACTGACCCTTAAACAGGCCACGCACTCACACCCAACTCAGCCTGCCTCCTGGGGACCCGGCCTGCGACGTGGTTTGGGATCGAGGACGAGGACTTAGGGTGACTACAGTCTGCCTTAGGTCAGCGGCAGGTGGGGGCCTGGGCCTTGAGTGGCCTTACTTGGCCACAGAAGCAATGACATTCAAACGAGGTCATTAGGGTGGACCCTGATCCAGTGTGACCGGGGTCCTCATGAAAAGGGGAAATTTGGAGACAGACGGGTGCACGGGGAGAACGACGCGTGTGAACGTGAAGACGGCTGTCTGTCCTCAAGCCCAGGATGGGGCCTGGGCAGAGCCTTCTGCAGCCCCCGGAAGAAACCAGACCCGACGAGCCTTGATTTCTGACCTGCAGCCTCCAAGACCTTGAGGGTACACTCCTGCCACGCCCCTGGGTTGTGCTGCTTGGTTACGGTGGCCGAAGCAAAGGAAACGATCACAGCGGCTCCGAGATCCTTCACGTCCTTCCCTCCATCTAAATTAGGCCCGACCGGTGGCCTCTCGTCACCCCCCGGCCCCCCCCCACCCGTGTTTCCTCCAGGGCCCTAATCACATGTTGTAATCACATGTTGTAATCCAGATTACATGTTGTAATCTGTCCAGTGGCCTGACGTCCTGCTCCAGCCTAGACCCTAAGCGCCAGCAGGACAGAGGCCAGGAGCACTTTGCTGCTCTGCACGGGGCTCATCCCTGGGGTTTAGAGCCTCCTGATAGAGTTTTGTTGAATGAGAGAAAAAAATGATTAGCATGAATTTTTTGACCTGAAAAATCTACTTTAAATAGTGACATATTTTTAATAAAACAGCGACCTAGCTCTTGAAAAAAACCTTACAGTTTTGTAGACAAGTGTCAGATCCTTTGCCCGCCTGTCTGATTTACAGACAGGGCCCCCGCTGGCCTCTGCATTGCCCACTCAGAGCTGACACGTGGCGACTCCTGCTCTCTCGGCCACCACATACCTGCTTTGGGGTAGGAAGCAATGACCAGGTCATCGGGCCTGGCTTGGGAGGCCCAGATCTTACCCCAGATCCTGCATGTGCCCTTCTGTAGAGTGACCCCATCTACCTGGGGAAGCAGGGGCCCTTCTGACTCCCCTGTCGTTCCCACCACATCCATCTCCATTTCCTCCGTCTTGGTTTGGGCACCAGCAGTGCAAAGTGACAAGTGACTGAAGGCAGGATCCACATGGGATTTTACCCTCAGTGCCTTGGGCATGGACTCCGCTCACCTACAGGCTTGTGTGTCCAGGCAAACAAGGAGAGGTGATTGGCATGGCTCTGTACCTCCTGAGTGACGCTGGAGCGAAATCCTTAAGCCTGTGCCGGATCACACCTTCCTTACAGCGGGGCTCCGGCGAGGCCCCACCTTGACGCTGCCCAGAGGGAGGAAGAGCCGCTCGGCGAGGGGCTGCCTGAGTCCGTCCTGGAGTCATTTCCTGGACCCGTGGACGCCCTCCAAGGTGGGGAGTCGGGTGATGTCACTGAAGGAACGTCTGGAACAGGTGTCCAGGCACTGCCCTCCCCTCTCTCCTCACCCGGAGCCAGCGATCCTGTGTCCTTGGGATTTGGAGAAAAACCCTCCCAGGCTGAGAGGAGACAAGTGTCATGTCACCAGCTGGGACATGGGAATTCCACCCCAGCTTCGGAGGCTGAATGAATTCTCAAGGCTCTGATCTTGTCTGTGAGTGTGAGGATAGACTGTCGTATCTGAGAACCATCACCAGATAGACGTTTTTAAAAATTAATTTTTATTGGAGTATAGTTGCTTTTCAATGTTGTGTTAGTTTCTGCTGTGCAGTAGAGTGACTGAGCTCTACGTATACATGTATCCCCTCTTTTTTGGATTTCCTTCCCATTTAGGTCACCACAGATCATTGAGTAGAGTTCCTTGTGCTCTACAGTAGGTTCTCATTAGCTATCTATTTTATACATAGTATCAAGAGTGTATATGTGTCAATCCCAATCTCCCAATTCATCCCATTCCCTTCCTTTGCCCCTTGGTATCTGTACGTTTGTTCTCTACGTCTGTGACTCTATTTCTGCTTTGCAAATAAGTTCATCTGTATCGTTTTTCTAGATTCCACGTATAACCAATATTTTACGGTATTTGTCTTTCTCTGTCTGACTTACTTCACTCGGTATGACAATCTCTAGGTCCATCCACGTCTCTGAAAATGGCATTATTTTGTTCTCTTTTATGGCTGAGTAATATTCCATGGCATATATGTACCACATCTTCTTTATTCATTACTCTGTTGGACATTTTGGCTGCTTCCATGTCCTGGCTATTGTAAATAGTGCTGCAATGAACATCAGGGTGCATGCATCATTTCAAATTATGGTTTTCTCCAGATATATGCCCAGGAGTGGGATCGCAGGATCATAAGGTAACGCCGTTTTTAGTTTTTTAAGGAACCTCCATACTGCTCTCCATAGTGGCTGTACCAATTTACATTCCTACCAACAGTGCAGGAGGGTTCCCTTTTCTCCACGCCCTCTCCAGCATTTATTATTTGTAAATTTTTTGATGATGGCCATTCTGACCAGTGTAAGGTGACACCTCATTGTAGTTTCAATTTGTATTTCTCTGATAATTAGTGACGTTGAGCATCTTTTCATGTGCTTTTTGGCCATCTGTATGTCTTCCTTGGTGAAACGTCTATTTAGGTCTTCCACCCATTTTTTGATTGGGTTGTTTGGGTTTTTTTTGATATTGAGCTGCATGAGCTGTTTGTATAGTTTGGAGAGTAATCACTGCTCAGTTGCTTCATTTGCAAATATTTTCTCCCATTCTCTGGGTTGTCTTTTCATTTTGTTTATGGTTTCCTTTGCTGTGCAAAAGCTTTTAAGTTTGATTAGGTCCCATTTGTTTATTTTTGTTTTTATTTTCATTACCCTAGGCAGTGGATCGAAAAAGATATTGCTGTGATTTATGTCAAAGAGTGTTCCGCCTATATTTTCCTCTAAGAGTTTTATAGTATCCCCAACAGATAGACTTTTAAAAATCAAGGCATAATTAACAGTAAAATGTGCAGAGCTTCAGTTTACGTGTTGATGGGTTTTCACTCGTGCATACGCCCTGTGACAGGCCCCAGATCAAGATGCAGAATGTTTCCACCACCTGCCCTCCGTCTGGGTCAAGGCCTCACCACCACCCTGGGCCCAGGGCGAAGGCCGTTCCGACTTCCATTCCCTCGGATAGGGTTCCCTGCTCATGAACCTCGTCTTGGCGGCATCGTCCATTGTCCAGTTTCCCTGGCCACCTCCTGCTCTGACCTTCCCCGTGCCCATCTCTTTCTCTTTCCTACAGACTCTTCCTCATCCTCGATTCTGCGCTGGACGCCTCCCTCATCAGAAAGATATTTGACTAACCCTACCTGGAATGGTCTCTTACCTTCTGGGTATGTCCTTGCATCTTTATTTTAGCTTCTGAGAAGGGTGAATGCTATGAATAATATAAACCATAGACACAGATGGTCTTTGCTTCTGAATTTTTGAAATTGGAGAAAATAAAGCAGTGGCGTCATCTAGGGGTAGGTGTTTTTATAATCCAAGTAGGCTAATCCAAGCATTAGGCAGTATTTGTCTGCACCAAAGACTGACAGAACCTTTTCAGGGAATTGAAGGAATAACCAGTGGTTTTTGAGCCAAGTAGAGCACCAGTCGGAGAAAAAACTGTTTTATGTGGTTGGTGGCTACTTGGAGGTAAGAACCTTACGTGAATCTCATAACACAAGAAGCAGATCATCTCTGAGAACAAAGGGGGATAAAGGCAATTTGAGACCCAAAGAGCCTGTAGAGCCGGTTGCATAGGTCTTGCCTGCAAGGACCTCTCGGACAGGAAGGGTTTTCTTCCTGGATTTCCGCAGGCCACTGTGGTTCAATCAGCTTGCCCAGCCCCCAGGGTCCAGGAGTCCCGGTCCAGCTTCCACTGCCTGCAGGGCAGAGCTTGTGCATGTTCCCGTCGCTTTGCTGACATGTGTGCAGGGTCCACTTCCTCGTAGCAGGGATAGAGAATTTGATGCAGGCTTGCCTTTCTCTTTCCCTCACCCTTTTACGGGCTCGTATGGGGAACCCACGCACATTGAAAGAAGAAAGGAAACGTGGGCCTAAGAGCTGGTGCACGAGGGCTCCCTGGGTGGGGCTGGGGCTTCAGGGCAGGATCGGCCTGGCCGCCTTCCCCTCCTGAAGAGGAGACTTTGGGATCCACCCACCCGCTGTTCACAGTGGCTTCCAAGGGCCGACTCCGCATCTCAGGCCAGCAGGGCTGTGGTCATCCCGTGAAGTCACAGCAGGAACCCGTGTTGTCTAGGCCACAGCTATGGTCTGCAGGGGTGGCTGAACCGGGGGCGAAGGAGAGAAAATCCTCCTGTCATTGAGACTGCAAATGAGCGCATGTCCCCCGGGGAGCTGTAGCGCACAGGGCTTCCAGCAGATCCGAGGAGCCGCCTAGGTCAGGAAGTACTTTAATGTTCTTCCCGGTTTGCACAAGCTTCTTGACTTTTCTTCTTTGTTCCGTAAATAGAATAATATTGTTTCCTCAGGCTGGTCCTGAGTTTTCTGACTGTAGGGCCACTGCTCAGGCCTCCTTTTTCTCTTTGTCATTAGATCCAACGACTCGACCTGCTTCGTTTCTTCCTTAAACCCGACTTTGCCCAAATTAACCCCATGTTGGTGACGCGAATACGACTCCCCTTACTACTGATCCTATTGTAGCAGAACATACATGCTTCAGCTCATTTGTTCCCTAAGTTTTAGGGGGGGAAGTATGGTTCTGACGCCAATTCCCACGTGTGTTTTTCCCGACCACCACCAAGCAGTTCTTCAACGCCAGTTGGGTGTTCTGCAATTCAGCGCAGTTCTGACAGCGTCTGCCTGTCAGGAGATGGCGTCAGACCCCACGGGTTAAGGGCTCAGTCCTACAGGACTGCCCCCACTCCCTGCCGAGACTCGAATCAGCTGTCCAGGTTGTCACCGGTGCTGCTGTACCAGCGGCTACACACTGGAGGTTCCCATCACTCCCGCCTCGGGGTGGGTTACTCTGCTAGAGGGGCTCACAGAGAGCTGACCTGCGAAATCAGCAGGTTATTACAGAAGCATGCAGCTCAGGAAGAGCCAGGCAGAGGAGGGGCACGTGGCAAGGCCTGGTGAGGGGCGTGGAGCTGCCCTGCCCGATCCGGGTGCCATGCTCCCCAACCTTCCTGTGTTCACCAACCCGTTAGCTCTCCGAACCCTGTCCCTTTGGGCTTTCACAGAGGCTCCATCACACAGGTTGATTGATTAAATCATTGGCCATTGGTGATTGAACTGAGTCTCCAGCCAGCTCTTCCCCTCCCCAGAGGTCAGGGGTGGGGCTGAAAGTTCCAACCCTCTGATTACCCTTAGGTGACTTAGGGCTTTCCAAAAGTCACCTCGTTAACATAACAAAAGGCACCTTTGCTGTAGGAAATTCCGAGGGTTTTAGGAGCTCTGTGCCAGGAACGGGATGAAGATCAAGTATA